TTATGGAGATGGTTAAATAATTGTATGACTATATCTGATTTAAGTCTTGCCAAAAATGTTTTTTATTAAATATATTAAAAACACTCAAATGACAAGTATAAACTACAGAAAAGCTGCTCAAAATCTGAACTGTGAACTTTGACTAAGAACATGGACACAGTGTATAATGTTATGACTATACTATAGTGTGTACTTGTGTGTGGCGGGGAGGTGGTAGAAGTTATTGTGCATTTATCGTTAGAGGTGAACTGGTCAATATATTGGGATATTGATTTTAGACCATATCACCCAGCCCTAGTTATGAGGCACAGTGGCAAAACATGAAACTACTGCACATGTTACTCAACAGGTTGCTGCTAGCTTACCAAAGAGTAAAGGCCCTGTCACACTAGACAATTTATGCCAACTTGTGAAACATTTTCTATGTCCAATTTGCCAATAAAATTTAGATATTTGATCAATTTGTTCAAAWTATATTATGTGCACACTGAAAAGAAGCTTCCTGTTGATTTTTTCAAATCCATCTTYAATGTAGACATCTTTAAAATGTTCRTAAGTTGGCATAAGTTGTCTWGTGYGACAGGGYCTTTAGTGAGTTAGTTGATGCTGCCATCCTCGCTTAGCTGGACCTTTAGAGGGTGAGCGGCTAAAGCCTTTCCTCTGCCTACATCCCCAGAATGCCATGCAGTTCTGGAATGGAGTTCAGTGAAACTATCAATGTTCTATCAGACGTATTTTCTATTGATATTGATCTATTTCGATATAATATCATTATTGAATTAAAGCCCAGATCTATTACAACCCCACCTCAAGTCGTGATGCTTGCATACTCTYTCATATAAATAACTGTTTCAGCTTTGACTACCTTATTTCATGGCTCAGAGGCGTAAACAGCAGCAGGCCAGGTTCAATCCCAACACCACATAAATTGTTTTTGTGATAAAGCATAAACTATTTAAATTAATAGTACATAGGTTAATGAAAGAACAAGTTTGTGTGTGTGCACAGTAATTTAAGCACGGTAGAAGACATATGGAAGATTAGGGAGAATTTCTTTGCATCAACAGATGCCCTGCACACCAAAGACATGGATCAACATGGATTTGCCTGGAAGCTCTGGTGCTTTGGTCCCCACTGTGGGAAGCACATGGCTCTTCCTGTCCCTCTGGGCCAGTCTAATAGCTGACAAGAGGCTGTGGAATACAGCTCTGCCACAGAAAGCCAAAGCAGGCTTGTGTTTGGTGTTTCTGGACTCATTGCACTGCCTTAAGTCATTCAGATTGTGTGAAACATTAGCATGCATCTCCCTTTCAAACGTGGAGTAACGTTTGTGAGTTTTCACCTTTCAAGTCTGATAAGAAATTCACATCAAAATAAACATTCTAGATAATAATTACTTCTTAAAATATGCAAGTACAYATAGGGAAAAAGTTAATATCAAAGTTTTTACTCCTATTTTTTTCTTCTACATTTAAAACAAATTTGAAGATTTTAATGGACACGAGTTTTTCAGAGAAGTGAAATGTATGATGTAAGAATAGAGCTACTCATGTAATTTATGATGTTAATGTTTTATTCATGTCATGCAGTAAAAAATTCTGTAATTTTTTTTCTATTGATTTCATTATATTTTGTAGAAAACATAATGCAATGTTCTATTTTTCAGTTTCACAGCTCTGCAGCAAAATAGCTGGATTGCTGTAAAGGTCAGATTTCTACTAGATAATTCAAAATAAGTTTTAAAACAACTAATGCAAATTGGGATATATATGTTGGTTTTTTTATTTTTCTATTAAATTTTGAAGCAGAAGAGCTACAGTTTTAATTCARTCTAATGTGCGCCAACTGCACCAAAACAAAACCACTGTCAGACCGGGGACTGCAGGAGAGCTTTGTGGTGCTCACAGAGGAAAAACTGTCAACTGGAGTTATGATTTTACCCTGAAAAGAAGATGTTTCAGTGAATTTTATTATCCGAGCGAAATACACTCCGCTGCTCCTTGAAATATAAAGCAAATGGACTTTTGATGAAGCACCAGCTTCTCCCATTTCAGTTCTATTTACTCAAACTTTGATAGATTCAACCTTAACTTTTAATCGATTCCTGAGGGACAGGCAGTTTCAGCGATCTCACCACAGTTTTTATAGAAATTGCTGTTTGAGTCAACCAATTGTTGTGAAACTCAGAGACCACAGTGTGACAAAATGTTGAGTTCCACTAGATTTAGCAGACAGGGCCTTTCTTTCRTTAAAGTCCTGCTTCCTCTCACAGCAGCTATCAGAAGTTTTTCATTCTGCTTCTTCTTTACCTCCTAATACTGATCCAGCCTCCCAGCATACTTAAACTCACTGTTGGACAAATCTTTCTGCTGCTGCTTTAAAATGGATTCAGTTTTCTGAATGACTCAGCTCAATAATGCATTACTGTAAAAGTCTATCCTTCATGCACATAAAACTTTCCCAAACTTCTAATGAGAGTTGTTGGCATTGCAGTTATTCAAATAAATACATAAATAAATAAACAAACAAACAAACCCTGCTRWGCTCATTACTTACAATTGTGTGAGCATTTAGTCATCATTGTGATGTTGAGGAAGTCGAAGCAAATCGGACACCGAAGCAGAGCGTCGACATTCTGTGGAGGATAATCACAAAATGTTTACCATCATTTAAAAGTTATGCTCTAATAAAACTAAGTAAGGTGCTTTAAAAGAAAAACATTTCAACAGCAACAAATATGTAATAACAAAAATATTGCTATGATTATGTAAATGTCTTAAAAGTTTGTTCAAATAGTATCCAACGATCTAAAGAAAAACAACTAAACATCAAAGTTTTGTCACTGCGTGTGTAACAGGGATTATTGAATCTACTGCAAAAAAAAAATTGGCTATATCAATAAGATAAGGTCACCAAAATAAAGGTAAAATGAACAGAAGACCACTAGGATATGTTAAAGATGTTTGACATTGTCTTTAAGAAAGGCAATCTATCAGTTTGTTGGGKTTTTTTTTATAAAATGTTTACGAGTTCAGATTATTCACACATTGAGAGATTCAGTGGGTCAGTAAARSTTTGAAGCATTACAGGAAGAAAAARCTTTGGTAAACCTGTAAATCCAAAAACACAGCTATTAAAYCAGAACAGTTTCCTGCAAATTCAAATATATTCAAATGAACAAATACTGTCAGAGTACTAGTTTAGTATCAATGCTTCATTTCACTAATGTTAACACTTTGTAGCTCAAATCACAACTTTGTTTGCTACATTATATTAGATGAAAGCATGCAGGCGCTTGGTAATCCTGGCATTGTTAAAAAAATTGATGTGCCCCAATCTTAAAATGAAAACCACATCCGTTTCTGTGATTTTTATCCTCGAATGTTGTTTATTTTCTAATAGTTTATTTGTTCAAGTCAAATTATTATTTTTGTCTTAAGTGTTATAATTAGTTATACATTTTACCTGCAGAATGAACCTATCATAACGGAGGTGACGTTTTCTTTTGGGTGTTTTAAGTTCTAACTGATTAACTCAGATGTAAGCCTTCAGTAAAATAATTTCAAGTCAAGTGCATAGTGAAAAAAAATTAAAATTAAAAAATATATACTAAATGACGGCAGGCCTGAGTGAGTAACAGTCCAGATGTCTAACTGATCATTTTTTGGTTTACCTTTTGCTAAGGCTAAATGTTTATAATCTTCGTATTAGCTCTTTCTTAGCTGTGTAGGCTAAGCTCGTAACCAAAACAAAACCGTACATGAACATCAGAATGGCGATAACTTACTTTCAAACATGCTAAACTAGGCGGTAAATCCTCTTCGATTTGATGGGCCATTATCTACGAGACAAAGTGCAGAAATCTGAGGAAGTTTAATGCCCAACTTTCAGCTGTGCTTTCAGAKCTCATCTGTCCCGCTCAGTATCGATGACGTCAACTAACTTCCGCTTAGCACTTGAGACGTTTGCGGTACGACGGACTGCTGGGATTTCCGAGTACCATTTACCTATGTATTTATTTATCTTTTGTTTATTATTTTTATTTTTCTGGTTGAGGTTGCTATCTCAAATAAGCAATATATTTTAGAGAAATATTAGCATGCACTGGTTTAACAACTAAATGTGACTTTCTTTTTTCTTTCTTTCTTTCTTTCTTTCTTTCTTTCTTTCTTTCTTTCTTTCTTTCTTTCTTTCTTTCTTTCTTTCTTTCTTTCTACTGACTATAACTAAATTCATACTTTAATTTGAAATCAATGATCATATGGTGAAAATTAACTCGTTTGAGTTAATTGTTTTTGATTCTACGGTACAGTGAATGCAACACGAGGACAATTGACTTCTATGGCCATTTAATTAATTATAAAAAATTAATTGTCTTTGTTTTGTGGACCTTGAGTCTGTAGTAAAGTTTGAATATAATTGATTTAACATATCTATTATTCTTAGTGTTCAATAAATTAATACATATCAAAGCTGTAATGATTGTTAGTTTAAAATATTAATAAGGCAAATAAGAAGCAGAAATAAATTCTCTTCCAAATGTATGTGTGGGCTCATCATTAAGGGAGAAGTGGTGAAGTTCAACCATTCAAGAGGGGCTCAGAGTAAATGAATCTGTTAGGAATAATGCCTCCCTCTTCCAAAGGAAATGTTTCAAACATGCCCTGCTGGAAAGATGCCTCAGGGCAAACCCTGAACATGCWGGAGAAATTCTCTCACAGCTGGTTTGGCAACGTGTCACCTAAACCTCTCGACAAACCACTACCTCCACCCACCTCAAGACCTGGAACAGGGAGGGAGGAAGGAAAAGTGAGGCCTAGGTAAAAGATGAACATGTACGTCTGTTAAGGTATACTATGATGAAAACCATGACAAGGAGCTAAAGAGAAAAAGTGTCATGAATAGTGTGTGTGTGTGTGGGGGGGGGGGGGGGGGGGGATGGAGTAGCCTGTGAGCTGGTTCACTGATGAGAGACAAATAGAAAAGGAGCAGCAAGAAGGAGAACAATAGAAGATTATGAGCATGGACAAACACAAAGAAAATAAACAATAAGAATGCAAGAAATGCAAGAAAAATACTAAAAACACAAAGTAGTAAACATAACCAAAAAATCAAATACACTATCAACAACCAACTAAGAGAATGAATGAATGAATGATTGAATGATTGAATGACTGAATGAATGAATGAATGAAAACTGACTTTGGGATAAATACTTCCAACACTTTAGTATCTTAAAGCAGCTGCACTTATAATCCAGCCTAAAACAAAAACTTGTACGTATACTTTTTTTAACGGAGCTCTAGAGGACCTTGTAACACTGAGGCTGCAGGTTTGAGTCCAGTGACCCCTGCAGAAGACAAAAGCAGTAATTGCAACAATCTCTTTTCAAAACTCCACCATTTCAAGTTTACCCTACAGAAAAGAGAAGCTGCTCCAAAGATTGCTTTGCAAGTACGAAGTGATTTGGTGAAYTGCTGACCCTGACCGTGAAACCACTGTAGTGGTTAATTGACTTCCCCAATTAGACCCGTGGAAAAAAGAGCTGATGTAGTTCAAGTGTTTGCTGACACTTTGTAACTTGCAGTCGTTACAGTGACCAGTATCATCGATCTTGTAGCCCTAACAAGGAGCTTGCACCTCTGCTTCCTGGGCTCGATTGTTCCCAGGACATTTTTATTGAAAATTTTGCTCTTGAAGTGAGTTTAATTACTCATTTTATTTTGTACATGCAAGGTTAATTTTAAATGACCATTATTTGTATTGATTGTCGTATTTGTACGATGTTTTTTTATTTAATGTTTAAGAGAGGATAATTGCTTCATATTGCAAAATCCTATTGAAGCCATTTTTAAAAGCACACAAGGATTTTGACCTTGAGTTCCTTTATAGTATGGATTAATATAAAGCACTGAAAACATTTTTAATCTGGCAACAGTAATCCAGAAAAACACATAACTCATAATTAAATACAACACTGAGTGTCCTTATAGACATTACAAAAACATTATTTAAAATAACTAACTTTATATGAAAATATATTAATATATTTGACACTGAGTGACTAATTGGGAGGGATTCAGGGCTAGAGTCCAKTTTGCAGGTAAAACTCTGACTGTCTGTTAGCAAAATAGTTTGGCATGCACAGTGGCAGGCCATATCTTTATTTAAAGAAACAATAGTTTATTTTAACATTTGGAATTTTAGCTCTCCTGTTCAACACAAAAACATAAAAACCTGTAGTCAAACACGTAAATGTCCAACCTAATATGTACAAACATCACTTTCAGAATAAAGCACTTCTCCCACCTTCCCCCCAACCCCAGGTATACCCTTTGGATTAAACATACRCCAAAAATAATAAGTGTTGGGTAGCTTTGAACAGTTAAACAAAACAACAATGTATTCATTTATGATCTGACTCCAGCAATGTTTTTATCTCTCACAAAGAGACACGGCTGCTCAAAATGAATTTGTGGCCACGCATTAATTTTTTTAATACAATGTCACCAGATGAGTTCCGTACAAAATGGTTCAAATATCAATGAAACTGTGATTTTCAGGACAAAAAAAATCAAAGAATGTCTAAAGAGAACAATGTGCATGGGTTAAAATGCAAGCAATGAAATTATTCATTTGCTCTGTGT